CCGGTATTCTTATATTTTAGGCTATGCTATTCAATTGTATATTAATACTTAGTCATTTTATTTAAATTATCTTGTTGTGTCCTTACTTAGTGGTTTTATTACTGCTATTTTATAATTGACACATGAATAAAGTTTATCATCATCATTGATTAAGGGAGTGAGTGATTAAAGGATTGACTGACTGATGAATTAAAAGTCAGTGAAAGACAGACCAGTTCATTGGAAGGACTACTGACTAACCTAGTGATTGAAAGAACTATAAAGGCAGATGGAATGAGAAGTGACTAGAGGGATTAGTAATCCAAACGATTAACTAAAGGTAATAATTAAGGTCACCTAGACACCTTACAGCTGAAGACAAGCTAAATATCCTTACGTGGTAAGGTTGGTGTTGTAAGCAGCTAATGCATCAGCAAGAGCAATGGCTCCATCATCTTCAATTCTGTTGTATGCCAAGTTCAGTACTTCTAGAGGAGTGTTGCTCTTCAGAAGGATAGCCAGCTGTTTGGCACCATCTCTTGTAATGTTGTTGCTGTGTTAAGGGGATACACATGAAAGTTTATACATTCAAAAGGTATTTCACAACTGCAATAAAAGCACCATTCTTGCATTTGACGTATAAGGCGTAAATTCTACAAGAAAATATATTTTGTAGGAAAACAATGCTTGCAAGTTATTGTGCAATCATTATGATTACAGCCTTGCTATCAGGATGAAAGATTAGCAGAGTATTAACTTCCCATCTTAGTTACTCATGATTACCTTCTTAAATCCAGGTGTGTCAGTGCTAAGTTATCCATAAGGTTTTCCTTCAATCTCTCTGCACCAAAATCTCTCATGTCATAATGTGTAAGGTGGATTTCTTGTAGTCTAACATTCACTTTCAGCATTTTGGCCACATGAACTGTGGTTTCCTCCTTAAAATTGTATCAAAAGTAAACATTCTGAACAACTTGGTTTCTTGATGAGAAAAACAGTGATCAACACATGTTTCATTGATGGCAACTCTCAATAGACCACTGTATGCTATGGAAAAAAGATGCAACAAGCTAGATTTTGCTACTGTGTAATTTAAATACACTGAAGAGTATGAAATACATATTTAAATGTAGATATTAGCTCACCTGACGGGTAAAGAGTATAGGTCTGTTCAAATTCACAGATTTTAGCGTGTTGTTGAAGTTGAGTACAGTGGTTATGGCTATTATACTTTCTATCTCCTGCAACAGAATGATTCTTTTGGTAATTAAAAGAAAAAAAACCTTAGACTTTAGGTTGCAGTGAAAAACCAGTTTTTAAACCTTATCCAATAGCAGGCTTGAGTACCACCCTGCATTGCCAAAATTAAAACTCCCCTGTAACCAAACCAATTTACCTGGTCCGTTTCACCAAGATCAAGTTCCTCTAGCATAGTGTTGACTTGAAGAGATCCAGCAATTGCCATTCCACCTTTGTTTTTTATTTTGTTGCCATTTAATCTCAGCTTACCAAGGGTTTCATTTACCTGAAATCATAAACAAGCCATTAATGAAACGTTTACATACATATATACATATTTACACACATACATACTAGGTTAATTGACCACTCCCCGTAGGGGCTTTTCAGGGCCAATGCCGAGCAACACCCACCTATACCACCCAGGGGAGGACACCCACCACACAATAATCTCGTGCACAGGAAATTAACGTCTCCTACCCCTAACCCTGCAGGAGACAGGGCCTACGGTTTATTCGTACCTATTTGAGAAGGCTAGAATATCTATCCATTTCTTGATAGAAAGGTAGCAAATTCTCCTCACTTATTTTAAGACCATGAGTATTGGTCCGGCCGGGGCTCGAACTCTCTACCTCCCGCACAACACAATCCAGCGCTCTAACCAATTAAGCTAACCGGGAGGCAGTATACCTCGGTATTCAAAACATCAGTCCATTTTTGTGATTCCCTAAGATGAAAATGTTTGATCATGTGGACTGTAGATAGGTATCTCTTATGTTTGATATTTTTTTTATTAGCATTTGATCATATATTGTTAGTACTAACTATGTGGTGTGCTTTAAGGCTGTCAGAACCAAGTTGTTTCACACAACTAACAAACAACCACACAAGCCAATGAATTGAGATTTTGCACTGGAAATTTGGGTGGAAAGTAGGAAACTAAAACTGATCCCCTCATGCAGGCCCTATATGCTTGACCACACTGTTCCTTGGGAGTAGCAATACATGACTCTTTTTTTTTTACAGCTCTGTTAGATTGTAAGGGGCTCATCTATAAAAGTGACATGCACAATCTGGGACCAAGATGGATGTCAAGTGACAGAACCTCACATATATATAGATGTTTGTCTGTTGCTAAAGCTGAATATTTTCTGAGCTTGGTCGTTAAGAGCTGTATGTAGGTTAAGATAATCCAGGGTTAGTGTGATTTATTTTATTTAATTATTTAATATTTATGAGCTAACTCAGCCAAAGAAGAGAACCACAGTTGTTAGAAGGCAGTACAGTACAAGTGCCAACCCTAGGGTGTCTCGAAAACTCAGACCTCGAAAACTCAGAACTCAGACCCGAAAAACTCAGACCCTCTGGGTGCCTCAAAAACTCAGACCCAGAAAATAAAACAAATTTACACCGCGTGAATGCCGCAAGCCGACTTGTTTACTGTTCGTCGATACAGTGGCATTATGTGCACTGATCATGAAAATTATCTGCCGAGAAAAGAAAAAACAGCTTGCAGTGTTAGATACGTGCAACGATCATGAAAATTATACTCAACATTCGTATAGATTTTTCTTTTCGTTATCGTATAAGCCAAGTTTATATCCACAACGTGTCGTGTCATTACAAGCCATTCGCAAGGTGTGTTGCGTGGTTCCCTGTACAAACATACTGAGGACCGGCATCACCCAACAGTAGCGGATATAACCTTTCGCGGTCCTTATACTTCGAAAAATTGTCGCGATTGAGTCACCTGCATTGAATTTTGAGCAGAATAGACCATTAATGGTCGAGAAGTCGTTTTTTGTTAAATCTGTAATCTAAATGATATGTCTGTCTGTAAAAGGATTGAGATTGCTGTCATTTGGTTGAGCAAGTGTGGTTTTACCAGCAATCGATTTTATAACCAATCGTTTTGGATGTGTACTTTTAAATTCAAAACAAACACTTGCAATATTATTTCAGTGTTCAGTTTTGTTGCAATGTCGTTTCCAAAAAGCATTTAGTGAATCATACAGTAAGTACATTCAAGGGTATTTATTGAAAGGAAAGAAAATAACTCGTGTGGCTTGAAGAATGCAACCATGAACGGATAATGTCTCATCGTAATGGACCACGAATATTGATTAAAAGCTTATGTTGTCCCATTGACACATGAACCGCCCGTGACCGCCCGTGCGTAACAACCCTAACCACTCTCCCGTTGTGGCTCTTTGTGTTTTGTTGCCATAGTGACTTAGGAGGATAATTATCCAATCATTTGGCCTCCTTTGCCCAGATTTTGACATCGTGACTTTTAAAATTTTCACGTTGAAGCGCGTGCGGTTGACGATGGCTGACGAGATTCTAGTAGATCCCAGAGTCGCGGCACTTTTCGAAGACTCGGGGGATGAAGGAAGCTTTGATGGATTCGATGACCAAGACAGGGATAGGTTAAATTTAAGTAATGATTCGGATTTAGATTTAGATGGTTTAGAGGCTGAAGACGATGACACAGATGCTGAAGAAGAAGAAGCTCGCTGGACTGACCAGCTCGACGATATCCAAGTTCCCCAGTTCCACGCCTCTACAGGCATTAATGTAGTATTAAATAATCCTAATGAACTAGATGCTTTTTTAGCTTTCATCGGTAATGATTTATGGGATAAAATAGTCGAGGAAAGTAATCGTTATGCGCACCAACAGTTAGGTGATCGATTTGAAAGTTTTCGTGCCATAACGCGTGCAGAAATGAAGGCATTCATCGGAATAATTATAATTATGGGTATTGTTAAGCTTCCACAGTATGCTTTTTTCTGGTCAACCGATGAATTTCTAGGAAATCCAGGCATTAAGAAGGTAATGGCTAAGAATAGGTTTGAGGAATTAAGTTGCTATTTACGTTTTAACGATTCAAGTAAGGAGCCCGCTAGGGGCGATAGAGATTACGATCGCCTTTTCAAAGTTCGACCCGTTTTAGATTATGTTCGCAATAAATGCGGGGAAAATTTTCTGCCCAGTAAGAATATTTCCGTAGATGAGGGTATGATTGGGTTCCGGGGGAGGTTATCTTTTAGACAGTATATGCCAGCTAAGCCCACTAAGTATGGTATTAAAGTTTGGATGGCCGCCGATTCTAGTAATGGCTACGTACTAAATTTTGATGTTTACTTAGGTAAAGAACCAAACCAGCGGCCAAGAATTTACGGCTTGGGGTACGACGTGGTGACTAGTATGATTAGGCCCTATATGAATAAGAACCACCACGTTTTTTTTGACAACTTTTTCAGCTCAGTTAAGTTATTAGAACATTTAGCAAGTAATGATACTTATGCTTGTGCCACCGTAAGATGTAGTCGTAAGGACTTGCCTCCCTGTGCCAAAGATAAGTTGCGTCCCGGGCAGAAATTGGTTCGCCAAAAGGGTAATGTAGTTTTCACCAAGTGGCACGATAAGAGAGACGTTAGCGTAATTTCTTCTAACCTTAGTCCTCTAGCCGTAGATGTAGTGGTAAATAGGCGTAATCAGCAGGTTTCGAAGCCTGCTGTAGTAGATCTTTACAATAAGCACATGGGAGGCGTAGATCTTGCAGATCAGTTGCGTAACTATTACTCGATGGGTCGTTCTTCTTCTAAGTGGTATAGGTATTTATTTTGGTTTTTATTTGATATTTCAATTTGCAATTCTTTCATTCTATACAACCACTATAGGGGAGAACATGGGGAGGGTAAAGTTAAACAGGTTAATTTTAGGATGAATCTCGCTAAGCAGTTGATCGGGGGGTTTTCTTCTACAGTTTCCGTAGGTAATTCAGTTAAACGCCGTAAGATTGAGAATTTGTCTCGAGAGCTTGGAAACGTAGGATCTCATTTCATAGTTAAGATTGAAGGTAGGAAGAAGGTTTGCGTTTATTGCAGCAAGTCAGGTATTAAGACAAAGTCGGGTCGATCAGTAGAGACCACTTTTCAGTGTTTACAATGCAGCGTAGCTCTTTGTAAGACTTGCTTTCACGATTTCCATAGTTAAATAGTTCTTGAACCTTCCTTCATGTCCCAAGTCATTTTCCACCGGATTAGTGCCCGACGAGAAGAGAAAACAAACAACCACGAGAGGATAAGTATAATTAAGTATTTGGTTCTTGTTTTGGCCTTTTTTATCCTGGATTGGCTGTTTGATTGGTTCCGATTTTGCCTTGATCTTTTTATGGCTTTCATATTTATTGCGGAGCGTACTTTAAATTTTCGCTAAATTTTCGTGTCGCTGCGAGTTTGGATTATTTTTTTTTCGCTTTGGCAATTCAATTGGTTTGGTCTCCATTGGCAGATGTTTTACTAAGTTTGGCTGCTGAATTTTAATTCAATAAATCTTGATTGGAAACCCGATCGCTGTTGTCTGATGTTTTGTTTTTAAGTGTTGGTGCGCCCCATTGGGTTTTCTTAGCTTTGCCGTTCACAATTTTGTATTTCGCGCGGGTGTATTTTTCGCTTCTCCTGCCTTTAACAGCTTTCAGACGTTCTAACCTAAAAGAAACTGGAATGGTTATCAAACAATTTTTGTAAAAATGATTAAATCTGACCGAACTACGCATTCTCGACCGCAAATCTTTTGACAACATCTCGCTTTCGCAACGTGTTAAAAAATCGAAAATCGTCGCGCGGCGAAGGGATAGTTTGAAATTTTGTTTCCTCCATAAATTAAAGGGCACTTTAGTAGCTCTTTTCCCGAATATTTTGGTATATTCCTGACAATAAATTATTTCCCTTTTCGTTGGCCACGACTTCGAAATCTGATTTCCCATTGATCTCCCCTGCGCATATATGTTTAATTTACCGCTCTTGTAACGCAATCACAAGTGGGGAAATTCCTGACGATAATTGGCATTGTCACGCGCGAAAACATAAACAAAGAACCGTTTATACACAGTCAGTTATTCTTTAAAATGAGGGAAGTATAAGGACCCCAAAAGGTTGTATCCAGTTTCAAATATCCGCCACTACTGTCGCATGACGCCGTTCCTACATTTGTACAGGGAACCATCACGCAACACACCTTGCGAATGGCTTCTAATGACACGACACGTTGTGGATATAAACTTGGCTTATACGATAACGAAAAGAAAAATCTCTACGAATGTTGATTATAATTTTCATGATCACTGCACGAATCTAACACCGCAAGCTGTTTTTTCTTTTCTCGGCAGATAATTTTCATGATCAATGCACATAATGCCACTGTATCGATGAAAAGTCAACAAGTCGGCTTGCGGCATTCACGTGGTATAAATGTTTTATTTTTTGGGTCTGAGTTTTCGAGACACTCCCAGAGGGTGTGAGTTTTTCGGGTCTGAGTTTTCGAGACACTCAGAGGGTCTTAGTTTTTCGGGTCTGAGTTTTTTGAGACACTCAGAGAGTCTGAGTTTTTCAGGTCTGAGGTCTGATTTTTCGAAGTCTGAGTTTTCGAGACACCCGCTAACCCTAGAAGAAATTTTTATTTGGATTTCTCTAGTGTGAGATCTGATTTCGGATCTGAGAGCTTTAAAAAGCAATTTGTCCACAATTTGATGATTTGATGTTCTAAAAATAATTAAAGAAAATCCGAAAAAGGCTTTTGAACACAGGAATAGAGAAATCTAGATAAAAAAAATTTATCCCAGGGTTAGCACTTATACTGTGCCTTCTAACAACTGTATTCTCTTTGGCAGAATTAGCTCATAAAAATGTTTTGAATTACCTGCAATCCTTTTGCAATTGCCTCACCTCCAGCAGGTCCAATGTCATTGTAACTTAACACTAACCACTGAAGACAAACTGTCTCCTGTAAGATAAAGAGTCAGCTATTACTGACAGTAATGTCAGTTATCTGTCTCAGCTATTACCTGGGTTCTATTGCAACAGTAATTCCGTGGATCATTTTAAACAGAAAAAGTCATTCTCGTATGAATCTTACAAGATAATTTTTCTTTAACCAACTGATCATGAATTGATCATTAGATAAATTTTACTTGGCCACTGTGAATGGTTTCAAATACTGACCTCTCGAGCATTAGCCCTTCATCATTCTCTCTGATGAAAGGCTAACACTAAAAATGTAAGCTATAGAAACATTTCTACTCTTTACGGTGACCACTTTTCATGTCAACTCGGTAAATAAAACCAAATTTTCTTGTAATACCACCACAGTTTCTTTAGAAACTGTCTATTTTTAAAATTGTAGGATACTCTACGTCACCTCCTTTAGCATAATTATGGAAGATGTTCCTTTGTTTCTTCTTGTATTATTATTCCAACAACCACAAAATAACTATTAGTGGGTCATTATCAAAACTATACCTGGAGAAGTTGACTCATCAAATTGGCTCCATCATCTCCAATACAGTTATATCCTAAATCAAGTCCAATTATAAAAGTGTTGCTTCTTAATGTCTTGTACAATATGGATGCATCCTGAACAAGAAAAAAACAACATCATTAGTATTCATCATATCATTCCTATGATTTGTGTTATACAGTTTTTGGAGATGGACAATCTTTAGTATATGCTAAATGCTGGCTTCCAGCAAAATTCACGGGAGGAAAAAGCAGTGATGACCGGCTGCATTTTTGACTGGCAATTGCTTGGAAAAGCACAGCAGGTATTGCTGATGTTACACACCTACTATCATTGAATCCTTCAACAGCCCCTCTTGAAATTTCAGCCAACAACTTCATTTATAGATACAACTCTGAGTATAATGTGATTCTTGGGTATTACACTGCACACATCTTGATAAACATAAACATACAATACATATGATGCACGATCCTCGCAGTAGATGGCGCTATTTAAGCAATAGCGAAAATCAGACCTGAAAAAAATCAGGCCTGTACGGGATTCGAACCACTGACCTCTGCGATACTAGTGCAGCGCACTACCAATTGAGCTAACAAGCTCAATTGGTCAGTGGTTCGAATCCCATGCAGGCCTGATTTTTTTCAGGTTTGATTTTCGCTATTGCTTAAATAGCGCTATCTACTGCAAGGATCGTGCATCATATGTATCTAATGCCACAGTTCAAAATATATGAACTTCATATATTTCATTATATCTGATAAACATACAAATAGACCTGCATGTTTACTTGTGAAAGGGAAGCATGTTTTTGGTTTCTAATATCGTAAGAAGTTTGAGAAAATGCCAAGAAATTGGTGTTCTGCTACAGCAGTGATTGATATCGCTATTGAATCAGTACCTCGTCAGTAAGTCTTCTTCTGTACATTTCATTGCGTTCATTCCTCTTGTTACCATGTAGGAACAAGTCAAACTCAATGATGGGATCCCTGTTAAAAAAACAACATATTTGAGAAAATTCTTCATCTGTTCAGAAAAATGACATGTTTTGAATACTTTACTTCAAAAAATGATGTTATGAGAACAATATGAACCTGATCAGTTTGTTTTATAAATTTTTACTGACCAGGTATGTTTTTACCTCAAAAAGTAATTATTACTAAAAACCTGCCTAATTAACTTGAACAAGATTAACTTCCCTTTGACTTGACTCCACTTTTCCAGTCATTTACCATTAGCTAACTTGAACCCAATTAACCCAAACTAATTGTTAACTCAAATTAATTTAAAATAAGTAAAATAAAAATCTTTATTTATCCAGGTGATAGATGAATCAGCTGAAACCCAGAGGGAACAGCTGGTGTAAATGGATGATCAGCTTACTTTCCCTTGGCTCAAATTTACCCAGATAACTCCCATTTTAAATATTAATATTAGTGAATAAACATCAAAGTGTCTGAACATAGCTGATTGACAGCTCTCAACCTTTAATCCCAAATGACATATACTGGATAACATTTATGAAAACCTAATAAATTTAACCAAACTTTCCAGACTTCATTTAATTAACCTTTTTTTAAAAAAAAAAAAAACACTAAATATACACAAAAGACTGTTCCTTGTGTAAGAATGCTAAAAACATGATTCCTTTTTTATTAAAAGGTACTAACAGAATAATTTAAATTTAGCACCAACCCAATAAGTCAAATGCCTGCTAACTTGAACCACTTTTTATTTCCCTTGGGAGATCTAGTTAGTGGGGTTCCATGAATTGTAGAAATGTTGATTATTGTATAGAGAAAATTGTTCTATCACAGTGCAGCAAGTGGGCGTTCAAGCGATTGAGGATGTTCTACTGTAATACAAATAAAACTAATACTGTCCATATTACAGCTTTGGGTATTTCAAGCAAGTTAATAACTATTTAACTATTTCAGGTACTCCACTAGAGTCAATGATAAAAGACTGAAATTATGAGAATTCCATCTATCAATTTTGCTCAAAAGGCCCTGATTTATTGAATACACCTAAACACTTTCACTTTTCTAATAAAAAACTGACATTTTTACGCAAGCCTCGTACATTTAATTTCACAGCTCTCCTGTTGATGTCTTCGACAACATTCAATACATTTAACAAACTACTTTACAAAACAAAGCAGGAATTAAATGCTTTTCACTGTCCCATGAGAAATCAAATGAAACCAAACTTGTGGGTGGAATAAACGTGCCTTTAGCATTGTTGCTAATATAATGGTTGCTTAGCAACCACAGAAAAAGAGACTATACATTCAGAAAGGTCTTTACTGTGTGTGGTTACACCTGATCCCGAGCTTCTAACAAAGTTATCACGTTACCCATGGAAACGTGTAGTTTAGTATCAACCCACAGCTGGATGCACGGAAAATCTTAAACTAGCTGTAGTTTATTTTAACCTCACCAGGCTAACTAAAAGCTTCAAATTTTCATTCCGTGCAGGTGAAGCAAGATTTGTTCAATTTCTCATTGATCAGTTCAATTATTCCAAGTTCAAAATTACTTAATCCTACTATTTTGTTCCTGTGATGGGCGAAAATGCAAGCAAGAACTTAAAACTCACAGAAAATTGTCATCTACTGCAGAATTCAAAACAGCTAAGATTCCCGTATCGGGTTCTTTCTCCAATTCGGCACAGACTTTAAGGTAATCTTCCTTCGTTGAAGCAGCGTCACCCATTTTAAGGGTTAGCAAAGGGAGTATATTTGCTCCAATTTCCAGGACTTAAAAGATCTTCTTCAAGCAGCGATAGAAATGTTCCCGCCATCAGCAGCCATTTTGAACTTGGTTGCTTAGCAATATGTCTCTTTGCGTTCTTGTTGACTTTAGATATAAGATATACTTTGATTGGCTAAACAAATTGTTACAAATTTTTGACCAATCATAAGAGATTTCATAAAAGCCGAGGTAAATATTTACTCGTTGCCAAGGCGACACGTTGCTAATTTTCACGTCCAAGGAAGAATTGCTCTATTCAACAAGAAGTTTTGAAAGGAAACAATTGATGCCCTTGCGCTTGAACCTAAAAACTTCAAAGTTTCTAGATCTTTGATATATATAGATGTCTAGATAACCTAAACAAAATATTCTTGCCCAGGGAATATGACAATCCGCGCCGATCAAGAAGAGGAAAGTAAACTTCACGTTGGAGCCCGACTAGACAACCTCAAGTTGGTACGCGCAGCTATTAAAGAAGGATCAGATCCAGACGCCCTGGGAATAAATGGCAGGACTGCATTGCACGAAGCCAGTTCTTGTGGCAACCTAGAGATAACAATCGCACTTCTTGAAGGTGGTGCCGATCCAAATATTCAGGATAGCCTAAGATGTACCCCTCTCCATCTCGCCGCAATCAATGGTCATTTAGAAGTCGTTCGCAGCCTAGTGCGCGCTGGCGCTCGGCTGGATTTAAAGAACGCTGAAGGAAAAATACCTCAGAGTTGTGCCAGCGATGATTGCTTGGACTTTCTTGCGAGGCAACGTAAGTAAACTCTATTTGGTAATCGAGGTATTAATCAGTTAGACGAATGATTCAAAGACGTTCTTGTTTGTGGAGGAAACAATCACGTACCCTCTAAAACAAGCGCGCTGACTTAAGAACCTGGTTGTGATTCCATTGTTACTGATCAGTAAGCATCCATGTGATATTTTGTTCATTTTCCAGTCAAGGAAAACACAACAGTATATTTGGTATACCGTAGGTTGATCTTATGTTTAAGTTAAAAGCTCCAATCATGTTAATAGCGAAATCGCATGGACATACGTATAGGCAAGATATGTGATTTACAAACGAAGTTACGTCAACTGCGAGTCAAAACTATATTTAGATAAAAAGTACATAACTTTGACATTGCCAGGAACTCTTGTGAGTTGCGCAGTTTCTTGTCTAAATGCATGACAAAAAATCGTTCAATCGAATGAAATCATGTCTGTAGAGTTTGGAATGTTTCGTTAATTGAATCTTGCTCAGCTGGTTTTTTTTTTTTTTTTTTTTGATAAACACATACAAAAATCTTAACATATGGATAGAAAGTATACATATAGGGATACTTAGTGGAGAATGCAGTGATATTGCAACCTGGTTCACAGTAAATCCCATATTTCTTGTTGTCTTGTGTTGTTCGATTGACGGCCGTCGTTGAATCGAAAAGTGAGTGTTCTTCTCGCTTACAATCGCGTAACCAAAGCTGCGACATTGTGCCCCAAAATATCGAAGTTGTCTGGGGCGTTGTCACATTTTCCATGTACTTATTTTCTTTTCTGCTTATGTAAACTTATGTCTAATTGTATTCAGCTTTCCTAATCGAGTCAGTCAATCAATATATATACTTTTCAATAATTGTTTGCTAACCAGCTTACTTAAATCTATCATGGTATTGTCTAATTCTAGGTGCTGAAGAGTTCATAACTGTGAGACCTTCTCCAGTCGAAGAAAACTCTGTTCGAAAGGTAAGCTAACAGGCCCAAACATCTCCAGGATAAGAAATAACTGCCATTCTATCTCCAAACATAGCTCTAATATCACTTGAAAGTTTCGGCATCAGCTGAAATCTCAAAATGTTTTGATAATTTTAAGGCCACTGTTTACGCTAAAAATGTTAGAGCCCAACTCTTGTTAGAGAAATGGGAATTATTTTGAAAACTGTATTTTACACTGAAGCCCAGCTTATTGAAACGGTAGTTTGTTATGGAATCGCAATATTTCAAGTACTAAACATTTTGTTCTCTTCTTGGCTTCTCTGTTGTATATGTAATGTTCATTGGCAGATTTGAAGCTGTCTTTTTTTTTTTTCATATAATCTTAAAACGATTGATTCTCCTTGAATTACAGCTATATGGTCCCAAAGCAAGCCAAAGCCCAGTTCTGAAGAAGCATAGGCAGTCATCACCGTGGTCAGACAGTTCTCAGAGCTCGCGTGAAAGTATGACGTCAAGTAGTTCAGGTAATTGGCTGGGAAGACTCTCGTCATGTTGAACATGTAAGAGAGCCAGAAATTTAGTTGGGAGAAATTTTTGTCTGCTGTGAGATAACTTTACAATTGTTATAGTAAATGTATGTGCAAGTTTTGCCAAAATGGTGTTCAATGAATATATCTGAAAAATATTTTTGAGAGTCGTGAATATTGATTAGTATATATAATAAGGATTATTTTTAGACCACAACTAGGAAGTTTATACAAAGCTGATTCATAATTTATGTACATGCAAGGGTGGTAAACCTGACTTGAATAAATGAACCCACACAGTCAAAACAACCTGTTATTGTTATTGTTATTTTTTAGTATTTCATATTTTCCGGTTTTAAATCAAAGTTACCGTCAGTAATGTATATTAACTTTTTTCCTTCTGTATTTTAGGTTCCAGTGACAGCTGTTGTGAATCATCATATGCTGCATATCAACCAGGTGACCAGTCACATTTGTATGTAAAGCTGACAAATTAACTTTTGCACACTCTCCTAGCAGAAAAATATATCTTTGATAAATGAGATGCAATGAATATATGAAGTTCATATATTTTGAACTGCAGTATTAGATATGTATGATGTGCAATCCTCGCAGTAGATAGCGCCATTTATGCAATAGCGAAAATCAGTCCTGAAAGAAATTGGTAGAGCGCTGCACTAGTATCACAGAGGTCAGTGGTTCGAGTCCCGTACAGGCCTGCGAGGATCGCACATCATACGTATCTTTGATAAAATTAGACATACAAATATATGACAAAAATATATTTACCCTCTTTATTTTTTGTTATGGATTTTTTGTAGGGCCTGGAGAAGTGAAAGTCTCTTTAGATTTTAGCCCCAATAGACGCTTTCTGGATATTCACGTTGGAGAAATTAAAGATGTGAAACTTCCTGCAGGTAAAAGGTGTTTTTATGTTAATAATGAAATACCTTTTACTAATACCTGGTTGTTTGGTTACAATGAATATATGAAGTTTATATATTTTCATACGCACCTGGTTGTTTGTTTGGAAAGGAGATGCAAATCTTCATTAACATGGCTAATCCATCCTAATAAAAGACTATGAACAACCTCCTGCCTTCTCTGTGAAGTCCGTTATACGTTACGTACACAAGTAGAAAAAAAAATTATGGAGGCACTCCGCAGAATTCTGGGAGTTAGAAGCTTGGAAAAAAAAAGAAGTTGCCTCACTCCCAGAGTTCAGTGCGGCGCTACCATCAAACTGAAATTCACCTGCAGAGCTTCTAAAAATTGTTGAAGTACCATTGCAAATCTTTTTTTAGGTCACAATATGTCGCACATCTACGTTAAAGGATATCTTGTTCCTGACAAGTCGAAGGACTCAAAACGGAAAACATGCTTACGTAAACTTGGGCGGTCAGAAGAAAGAAGAACTTCAAGAGATAGTGTAACTTTATGGGACAATGAAGAAGCTGAGAGCGATAAAACTGCTGGGAAACGAATGGGCCAGAGATTAGTATCTTCACTGAAGAGGGGAAGTCGCTCATCCTTGCATAGAGAGAAGAGTCGAGACCAAAGTAAGAATCTTGTTTTTTTTCTCGTTACTTTTTCCGGGGAAGATTTGTGGGTCAACCAAAACAATCTTTTCATTCTTGTATTTAGTGTGTTTTTGCAATGCAGACGAAATACATGGAACTAGCTAAGGTATTTATCTTCAATCTCTTCTTCTAAAATAGGCAAGCCAGCACCTGTTTACCGCATATCAACCACATTTGGAGAGACTTTTCATTACAACGCTGACGAACTGAGGAGGGTGAATGTGGAAACCTGCAATGTGTTGTTGACGATCTGTGGCCGCAATCGTGTAACCACTCGAGCACAGCCTATCGCTTGTCTCACTTTACCATTAGCAGGTTATGCTAAAATGGTTAAACCCGATTGGTATCCTTTAGCGTACAAGATACTGTTGCCCAGTGGGTATGATGTGGCTGAGGAACGAGAATCATTCAGAGGAAGCAGATCGTGGGAACAAAAAGGTAGGTGTTTTAGGATAAAGCACTCGTGTGTTTTTCTTCTTTTTTTTATTTTTTATTTTTTTTTCTTT